TATATATATATATATATATATATATATATATATATAATTAATTTGTCAACAAAATAAAAAATTATCATATGAAGTGCAAAAATCATATCAAACCATTAAGACCTTCACGTTTCTCAATTAATATTAAATAGCCATGAACTAAATTATAGCGATAATAATATAGTCAAACAAATATATTCGAAATTTAGTAGCAGCAATAATGATAACCAAGACACTGTTTATACAAATTACATGCATCAATTTACTATCTACACTTAATATCCAGAAAAAAAGTGAAAATGCATCCTTGTCATCAGCGCTGTTAGTATCGACGTTATGATATCCAGTCTAACTCTAAATTCCAAACGAAGATAATATTTACGCTCTAAAATTGGCAGAATGCATTTTAAAACCATAACTATCAAATTTTACTTTAAAAAAAAAAATACTTTGTAATTCTTAACTGTAAACATACGCTCTCATTTAGAAATTAATATTAGTAGAACAAATTTTACAATGCCTTTAAATGAAACTAAAATTTGCATATCTTAAAATTGCAAAATGAAAAATCAAATGTTTTATGAATAATATTCTATTACTTTTTGATAGATTTTGCAAAGGAAGAATAAAAGTCATTGAACTAATCAACGAATACTCATATTCTAAGCTGAATAATTATGCTAAAAAGAATAAACATCTCGCAAAGGCTGTCACATCTAAATTCAAGTTCTTAAAATTAAAAAATAACTACAGTTAACTGTAAAATAACTTTATATATATAATGTAAAGATGATTAAAAACAAAATAACAGTAAACAAAACTGACTGTAGTAAAATGTAAGCACTATTTAGTTCTTGCGGAAATTAAAAAAAATTGTGATGACGAATAAAAAATTAAAATAAAAGTTGAAAATTAAAAATTGGAATAAGCGATGATGCTCTACAATAACAATTAAGAACGAATAATAATAATGATAATGATAATAATAACAGTAATAATAATAATAAAAATTAGGACAGAATAAAAAAATTGACATGATGGATCAAATACTACTCAACATTCATCAGTATAAAAATGACAATAAGGGATCAAAAAAAGGATAAAATTGCTTGAAAGACAATGAAAGCAAAAGATGATAGACTTTCTAAAGTAACAAATAAATAACCATTGCTTCACATTATTTAATATTAAGTATTATTTTTAGCAGATATAATAGTAATAATAAGTGAGTATACGAATAACAAATCCTTTAAAAAACAAAATGAGGAAAGTAAAAGCAAGTTAGTTAGCTCAATTCCGCTCATATTAACTAGCTACTAATACTTGGGTGTAATCAATTCGTTCCTACTTAGCTTAGACTTTGATTCTTAGGAGGTAGCAACTTCAGTAGTAAATAAGCCATTCCAATAATAAAGCTAAGCAAAGTGAAACAAATAGAAGTCAACTGCATCGTATCATTTTTGTCACAAACTCCCAAACAGCTACACAACTCAATATGTCATTTGTTTCCCAAATTATATTTCAAATTATATAATGCTTGATCTTAACTACTGTGACTAAATGATAAATAAAACTTGGCCGTCCTGAAACAAGACTTTACTGGAATAACAAGAATTTAAAATTAATAGAGCTAAAAGTGGGAGTAAGCAATCCTTGAGAAATGACGATTCATAATTTAAATTATTCTTCAGCATTAGCATATTAGTTTTGTTACAATTTTAACTTCAAAAGTAGTAAGCTAAAATGGCAGTTGAGAGATATCAAATAGACATATGCACACATGCATACTCACATTTGTTTATTTTCACTTTTTGTTCTTGACTGATTTGCGTCATAATTCCCACTGGATGAGTGGAAGCAACCAAAGTTATCATCGAATTCATCATTCATTTGCTAAGAAATGTTATATTTATTCTTCGAATAGCAATACTAGCAATCGCTCTTTGAATGGAGAGTCACTGTTCTGACCATAAACAAAAGCTCGTAGCCAACAAACTCTATTATTGCCCATATAGATATTATTGAGACCTATCATTAAAAATTGCAACCAAAAGAATACTTAGTATTAACCAATCAATCATTTATTTTTCACTATCATTATTTTTTCATTTAAAATTCAGTGCCTTATTTCGTTTAGTTTTCTTTAATTAAAAATTTTTCGAATCAGGTAAGAATAGGAATGAAATATTGCGACTAAAGTACAAGTAAGAATTGATAAAAACTTGTATCAGTTGTAGATAAGACATGCAGAGATTGTTAACAACAATCAAAGGTAGTAAATTCTTGCCAAATAACTGAAGCCGTTATTTTGATAGTAGTAATTCCCTGCAAAAAAATATTTTTCATAAATATAGAACATATTCAACATTCACACTTGTTTCACAAATTTCATGCTACGAAATGCAAAACATAAAAAGTTTTTAAAAAATATCTCTCACAAGATGATCAAATAGAATATTATTAAAAATTCAGTCCTCTATCTTTACACTGGAACTTGCTTGAACCTCTGGTGAAATAATTAAGAAAGATATCATTTAAATGCCATAATCTGAAGCATTCCAATCTCTCAAAACGAAGTTTTATAATCTTACATAAATTACTAATATTGCAGACTTTAATATTCATCAGATATGGACTGCAATAAAAACTAAACATTACCACGAATTTCTGACATTTGCAACAGCCTGACGAACAACTCGCTTTCGAGATGCAGAATGGGCAATCAAATTGCGAATTACAGAATTATAGTAAGGAAGTAACATTTCAGGACGCCACCGAAGTGTTACCAATTGTAAACATTCCATTAATACTAAATGAAGCCTCTGAAAAAGCTCGAATTTTAATGACATCTCATAACAGTGGAATTTATCATGCTTCAATCATATTATGCCACTATAGAAACTTATTAAGTGGAAAAGTTTCGACTTTAATCTTACAACAAAGAAAATAATACAAACCGTGTCTTGACTACTGTCAGACATAAATTGCAACCGTGATAGTATTTTCAACAACCGCGGTAGTATTTTCAATAACAACTCATCAGTCAGTTGTTCAGAAGTTGCATTTTTTAAAAAATTAGCCAGAGCAGAAATAATTTGCTTTTCTAAGAACAAATCTAAACTGTTCGTATCCAGCGCATCATAAACGACTGATAATAACTGAAATAAATTGAATTATATAGACAACGTTAAGAAGGAAAAATTTCCCTTAACACTTCTATTATCATTAATTTATCAACCAAAGACAAGAATTTTCACCTTTGCATAGCTACTGCACACAGATGTTAGCGATCCAGCCAGATCAGAAAGTGGTGATAGCACGGCAAATAAAACAACTCGTCTATCCCATAGTTCTGAAATTTCTGAATAATTAACTTGGTGAAACAGTTCCCACTTTATCGATTAAACAACATTCCCATCATTCCTGAGCAAAATAATCATAGTGAAAAGTACCATCTTCGATATAAATTTTCATTTTCTGAATACAATACTTTAGAAGCAGCAATCAACTACACTCGTCAGATATTTTTAATTAGTAAAAAAGGCCACTAACTTTAAATCATTAATCTTATAAAACAGCATTACAATAATTACTAATAAGATAATTCTGAAAATTAAAGCACTTGCAATTTCATTAATCTAGAAACATAAAATCTGACACAACCCAGTATTAAGTTCGTCGATGTTAGATATAGCTGCTTTTTCAAAGAGTAAGTTAGTTAGTATTAAACACAAACACTAGGCACTTCATTTGTATATATTTAACACAACTTTTTAGCACAACGAGTTTAATGTTACTCAAGCAATTATAGAGAAAGATTTAAATTTCAGACTACATAACAGTACAAATGATTTAAAATATCTCAAAATATTTTAAAAACATTACCTTTGTTTAAACTCTCAAGATACTGAACATAAACTGCGACGAGCTGACAAAATATTCGTTGTTGCCATAGAAAAGTTGCATTATACTTACACTTTATAGGATCAGAGTAGCATTTATCAAAAGTTAACATATCTACAAGTGCTTCTGTTAACAGATTGATGTTCGATGAGTCGAAATACTGAACAAGGTCTTGAAGAAGCTACAAAACAAAATTTTAAACTTGTCACATTCTACAAAAAAAATTTTTCACTGTTATATTTTAGTCCAGTTGTAGAGAATGTTCCTGAATTAAAAATTATTCGCATTTTTTTGAAACTACTGCAACCCCATAAAAAAGGCAAATCCTCCTTTTAGCTCCAAAAAAATATGAATAATTTTTAGCTTCCATTCAATCTGACAACCATAATAGTAATCATCAAAAAAGGTTTAAACAAATCAAAAGGACAAATCTTCCTTCTACTTGTAACTAGGTAATTTTTAAATTAATGAGAGATTTAACGATATTCATTCCTGAGCAAACTCATGTTAAAACTGGTGAAAGCAATTATTACTTCAGCAAAAAAAATAGGTCCTTCAGGACGACCAGCAAGCATAAGCCCAGCTGTTAATCTCGTTCTGCATTTGAAATTATCCAAAAATTCTAAATTTTCTCCAAATCTATTTATTTGCTTGAGAGTTTCTGCATAACTTGCCGACTTATTAACAACTGCTGCTAATAATAACGATTTGTACCATGTAAAATTTTTTTCAGTAGCAAACGAATGCTCCAAAATTTTGAGAATTTTATCAGTATTCTGAAAAAATAATATGAAACCAATCAGCAAAAGCGTAATAAATGAAACATGATCAAAATGATTACGTTTATTTTCGTTAAAAAACTACGTGGATGACAAACAGTTTCACTAGCCTCTAGAAAAAAACACTGAGAAGTTTAAACATTCCAAGAGACAAAAATAATTAAAAATGCTCCTTACCATTGATTGAATAATGTAAAGATACAAGCCTGGTAATAAATATGGACACTCTTTTATTTTTTGTTCGATCAGATGTAAGCCTTTAATATGGGTGCTGAAAACTAATTAGTTTGTAATTTAAAAACAGAAATTCAAACAAAAATAAATTTACTTTCTGCGTATGAAATTATTAAGAAATAAATATGGTAATGCAATCTTGCCTATTTTAAACGAAATAATAGATATACCATAAATTTATTAAAAGTGATCAAGAAATTCTCATACATATTTTACAAGCTGAGATTTAAATAGAACTAATACAAAAAAAAGAAACCAAAAAATATTACCTATCACTGATTATTAGCCCAATTCGCTGAAGCAACCTTGCCTGTGTCTTCAAACTTCGTCCTGCCTTCAATTCTGATTCTAGTTTTGCGAAAACGCAAACTAACGTTTCCTCCAATAACATTTCCTGCAAAGAACCATCTCCAGACTTGTTCCTCTCGAAAATTTTGACGTAAAGTTCTTGCATATCATCTCCCCAATCTATAATGTAATCACAAAATTATAAATAACTTGAATTCGATGAAAGAATGGCCAAATGTGTCAAAATGGATAAAGGTTGTTGAGAAAATATGAATAAAAAATAATACCAGCAAATTAAATAAAGTTATATTATATAACAGCCATAAGAATCAATAACAGATATGAATACCTAATGGTGCCGGAAATAACATGGCAAGATGCGACACAACAAAATTAAGACTTTCAGGGCTGTGAATAGCTGACCAAAATACCGGATAAAATAATTCTGAAATATATCTATACTTACTAAATTTTTTCAAATCAACTAATGTCATTAGAGGGTAATGAAATATTTTTCCTGAGATTAAATTTTATTTCATCTTTAAGTTAAAAATGAAACAGAGAAGTATCAAAATGATATTCAATAAAGAACTATTACACACAGAGACTTTTTTTTGGAAAATAACATATCTTCGAAAAATCAAAAAAAAAAAAGTAAACAGATTTTCGTTTAATAAAATTACCTTTCATGGCGTTTATTTTTTTAGCCAGCAAAGTCTTTGCAATGATCCAATTGTTTGCAGCAAAAGCATAAACAAACATCAAACACTCATTTCTGCAAATTTTAAGAAATTAAATCATAAAATTTTTCAGCCTGAAAATTTTTTTTGAAAATTTAATTCATTTTGAATGAAAAAGCCTTATGAATGCAATTGCTAAGAGAAATGAAATCATGATTAAATTTCCTCATAATCCAAATTTAACTATTACAATTTCGATCAAACTGAATTAAATGATTTAAATATATGCTGAGAAAATTATCAACGGATGGGACAAAAATATGATCAATATTACTTCAGCTCCTGATTGCAGTTCATCACAGAATCGAAACTTTTTAGCAGAAAAATTTTACATTTTTCTAGCAACATTTCTGTTTCCACATGCAGATTCACACATACCTACAGAAAATAAAATTAATGGAACTAAGTTACAGTAAACTAAGTTTCTGTCTAAGGATCGTTCAAATTTTGCAAAATCATATTGCAATTAATGCTGTGAAAATACATCGTTATTATTTCTCTCTTTCATTGATATGTAACCACAAAAAGATCTAACGTCAAGTTATAATAAGAATAAATTTTAAAAAGCTAACCTTTAGCAACTTGAATTGAACTATTTGGGCATTTTCATAATCATTATTATTCAGCATTTCATTAAGCGGTGCATAATACTTCTGCATCAGTTTCACTACAAAACAAAACTTTCGTATGAATCAAACACAGTAATAACAAAACTTGACTTTGAGAACTTTCACAAGCTTGAAGGGAAATAAACCTAGCTTTATAAACCATACATATATGGTGCTGACAAAGAATACAATATTTCTAGTCACAAACCTTGCTTGAAACCTTCAGCTAAATCAATCCAATGACATAAAAACCTCAAACTCTCGCTAGTGATTTCGGATTTATTGGTGACAGAACTTATTGTATCTCCTGAAAGTAAAACTAATTTCGTTTACGTACTTTGAATCAAAAATTCAAAAACAAACATCAGTTTAACTTCCTAAGCAATAACCTGTTCAACTGTAGTGAAAAATTTGTACCTTTGCACAACAATAATAACCATGAAAAAACAGCTCCAAAAATAATATCCCAACAATATTCACTAGACTTCAACAGAGTCTCGAAAAATTCTAAATTCTTTTCTGTGAGACCTAATTCCATCTTCAGTACAAATAATTCACAATCTGCAAATGAACTGAACATTGTGCACGATAAAACATAGTGGTTCACATTTAATTACACTTTGTCAAAAATTTAAGATGAAGCATCAAAAATGTTCGATTATACCATTTATTACTACATTAGTAAATATGATATGCATAGATGAAAGAATTCAGTTGTAACTCACTTTCAATGAAAGTCTGGCAGACGTACTCGATTTGTTCTTTTCTGGTCTGTAAGAAATTCTTTGTCTTAAATATGTAAAAAGAATAAGCCACAAAAATATATCTGTAAATTAATTTTGCAAAATTACATACCACTGGGCTAGATCTTTCCAAAGCTTTGATCACGGAAGAAATAGCAAAATGAATTGGTTCTCGTACAGAAGTGATATTTGTAGTTGATGATGATTTAAGCAAAACCGATCTAATCCCAGTGCACAAATCATCAATATAATCAGTAAGATCAGCATCAGGAAATGCAGAGCACGCCTTGCCCTTAAAAATTAAGATTTTTTAAAATATTTTCAAAACAAAAAAAGCTATTCTATTATCAAAAGTAGAAAATTAAAACAAGAAAAATGAAAAATAAAGAATAAAAAAATGAAAAACAATAAATTCTTGAAGAAATGCCATAGAGTTACGAAAGTTTTTGAGGATAAATTGACTTTATGACATTCAAAATTCTGGAAAAGAAAATGACTAAAATCCAGTAGTAGGTATAAGAGTTATTACTAAGTGCAATGCATAAAATGAAAAAATACTTATAAATGCATTCAGAAAAGGGATCCTTTTTATGTCTTTAATGAAAACTACCCTAAGTAGGGATTCTAACATATTGAATAATAAATAAAGTCATACCAAAAAAGTGCAAACTTCTAATTTCGTTTCCAACGAATTTTCATCTTCTGTAAGTTTTTCGATGACTAATTCGAAAACCAATGATGCAAATTCTTCATCAGCAAACAAGCAATTTTCGCAACCACTGACCAAAAGCTGTCTAGTGATTTCCGTTCGTTCTTTTGAATTCTCAAATTTATTAAACTTTTAATTTTCAATAAATTAAATTTATCATAAAGGATGAATGTTATACAAACAACTCATTACATCATGATATTTACTAAAAATCATTTTCACTTCAAGGCATAAAATTTAGTTTTAATAAATACTATGTATAGAAAAATGTATATCAATAAAATATGTTTTTCGGTAACCAGTAACATAGATGCACAAAAAACATGTGGGACAATATCTTAATTAATCTTTGAATAATCAAAATGAACAAACTTCATGTAAAAATCAAAATCTTTGCAAACCTGTTGGAATTGGATAGGATAATAGCATGCAATAACGTCAAACAAATCATTCACATAAATATTGAACAAGTTCTTTGGAAAATTCCCTGATATCATGGACATCAAAATATTTTAGGAAAGTTACGACAACAGTCAATTGAATAAATAAAGTTGCATCATTCCTGGTTTGACATATTTAACGCATTTATTTTAATGAAACAACAAAAAACTTGCAGTACTGAATATTAATTTCTTTCAAGCATTTCAAAAGAGTCCCTCATTGCTTACCAAGATTGGAGTGCTTGCAAATAATACAAAAAAGTCGGAAAATAATAACGAGACATCGGGGATCTTGCTCTCCGTTAATCGCTGATATAAAATAGGAGATAAAATATGGATTTTCCAAGAGCTCTGAAATAATAGTAATCAAAAGTTCACAAATATATAAAAATAACTCTAAACAGTAAATGCTAATAACATCTATCCAAAAGAATCTCAAACCTTTTCTGATAAGAATGTTGATGGACTTCAATATTAACATGCTTTTAGAAATAAAAAAAAATAACAACAGAATTTTGACCTTTGTGATATTTAGTTAATAAGATATCCAAGATTTGATAAAACACATATCGTTCTTTTTGAGAAAAAGTTTGCACTTGTTCTTGATGAAACAATTTTTCAACTACAACTTGAATATAATCGACAGCTAGATGTGGACTTTTCATAAGCTGTAACAAAAATATTTGAACGGATTAATCTTGAACAGATGGTTAAAGAGTATATAAATGGAAAAATGATTGCAGTAGTCCTCCAAATAATAAAGTGTCCATGTACTGATACTAATCTGCATTTAGGGAAAATATGAAAATAAAAATACTTGTATATGGAAAAAGCTCACTAGTTTTTTAACAGCTGCCAAAAAATAAACATCTGGTTTGTCGAGAACACTGTAATTTGCCATCAAGAAATTAATGAGCAGTTCCTCTGAAAATTGTTAAATACACAAAAATCATGAAAGTAGATGCACTCTATAAATATACTAACCTTGAGTTGATAGCCACGGAAAATCATCTGGAAGTTTACTTATGACCAAAATAATTCGTTTCAATCCATTTTCTTGCTTCAAACGATCCCTACTTTTAATATCTGCTCTGAAAAATACCACCAATTACTATTGCATATTTTGCAAGAATTTAATTACACAATTTAAATTTATAAACTTTTTGGAAATGAAAAAAGATGGAAATGTGTTAAACACTTTCATAGAAGAGATATTTTTTTTACTTATTTATCTGAAGAAAATTTGCATTAGTGCAGAAGTAACGAACTGTAATGACTCGATGAATAGACGTAAAGTGCTAGACCCTCCAAATGAGAGTTCATGTACCCAATGTTTAACAAAATCTGAATCCGAATCGTTCTCATTTCCAGCCATTGCTTCTCGTATTCTGTTTACTCTTCACTTTACCCAAAACTGACTTAAACGTTTTGTGATCCACAAATATATTGCGATTACTGCCTTACATAAAGGACTAGTCCAAACTTGATATCTGATATCCTGTTTTTCACACAAAATATCATAAATCACGAACACATACACATCTTATCAAAAAAATATATAAATAAACTTAACAACAAAATATACTTTAAGTTTCACACTAACATTCGTAATGTCAGCTTCAATTTTAAAAACATCCATTTTTCAAATAACTGGTAATCTCAACTTTAATATGGAAAGTAAACTTGCTCATACTTGTAAAACAAATCTGAAAACCGCTTACTACTTCCTTTTTAAATTTCCAACAAGCAATTAAAATTAATTTCCTTCACTATCTATTAATTCACATCTGGACTAAAAATTACCTAATCAAAATTCCCTTCAATGACGCAAGTTTGAGGAAAATTATATTATCTGACAGTTTTATGAAGTTAATATCAAGAAAAGCGAACAACGGATCTGAAACTAAACTGACGAAACATATTTTTAAGATTTCTGAATGTCTTCAACACAAATAGTAATTTTTTGTAAACAACAGCTGATATGAGAAGTTGCAAAATTGTTGCATGCATCGATTGGTTATCTTCATCCCAAAATTTGATAAATGAGTGGAACATGTCTCTCAATTATTGATTTAGTATGAGGGAATTAGCTTGTAGAATAACTATGTGGGTACTAACTCGACGATTTTGTGGCTCTTATAGTTTGAAAAAAAACGGAAATTTCGCCTTTGACGTGGTCAGTTTTAGATTACTGTACTATGGCTGTCGTATATAAAGAAACTATTTGCTTCTGTAATATTGTGATGAACTGCTACATTGAACTTCATGGGAATGGCATTGTCAGTTTTCTTTTGTCACTACTGACCCCTTGAAATATCTCATATACTTTGCACCAAAAAGAGCACAGAAGATAATGATAACATTTATCGTTAAAAGTTGCTTCTTAATATATTGAAACATGTTAAATGCAAATTTTTAGAATTTGTTCTTCAAAAATATATTGGGGCTAAAATTTGCTTCATAATCTTCGATCAAGCATAAAAATTGGAATCAGAACAAGTAGACACGTGCTTACGAGAAATGGTTTTTTTAGACTGAAGTCACGAAAATAGATCTTATTTTTGTTTACATAAACATTACTATTCAAATAGGTCAAAGTTTGCATACAAAACTCGAGATATATTAGTCTTATTTATTGTAGAGATGGTATTAGTTGCACAGATCTGCTGCTTTACAAGTTCAATCTTTGAAAAAAATGCACGACTACAAATATTTGTGTGAAATCGCCCACTGAAGTTCAAGCCATTTACTTTTAAAAATAATAAAAATGAATTTAGTGATGCAAATTTTTTGAGCAGTGCAATAGTAAAAAGTTAGAATTAACAATAAATGCTTTTGAAGGTTGTGAAAATTTTGAAAACTTTCATCTTATCCCTCCACTTTTTTCAAATTTTTCTTTCGACTTTGTGTTCATAAATATTTGTCATTGATGCAGATGTAATTACAACGTTTAATTTTCAAAGCATTTTTCTCAATAATTTAAAAAGTATATTTTTTTTAAAACAAAACTCTTACTTTCAGTTAGCAAATGCTCTCTGAACATAAAATCATCAATACGATATTTGCGTATGACATCTGTAATGCAAATAACTACGATCAACAGAATCCCAAGCACTCAGAGACTTTCACTTCACGAAAACTCGATGGTAACATTAAAATAAATTCACATTGAAATTATCGCATTTGCGTGATTTCAATTTCACTTCTAGTAGCAAATTCATATAGTAGATGTGCAACTTGTTCCAAACTGTTGATTCTTTCGGTGTTATTGAACGACCTTCGTAAAGTTGTATTCATAAGTTGGGACTACACCATAGAGTATGAAAAAATGAGTGAAATGAGTTCACTAGGCTTTTTGATAGCTATAAGAATGCCCTCCAAAAAATTTGAATAATTTTTGTATGAATCGTTTTACTTCTTCGATATTCAATAAGATCCCATCGCAAGTCGCATTTTCATTGTGTCACAAAATTTTGCATTGCAAAAACCTCCTCAGCTCTTGCGAAAGTTTGCGAAATTAAACAAGCCAAATTTCAGTCATTGCGTTTGGTTACATTTGCATGAGAAAGGAACGAATTAACGACACCGATGTATCATAAACTCCGTTAAGACTACAGTTTCCATAGCGTTTGTAGCCCTTACTGTGATCCCTTCTATCATCGAAGCAATCTGATCCAAAACTATCTCTCATTACTGTTCGCATTCTAAACTACTCTTCCACTACTACCATTCCGATCTTCCTAAGCAAGGAATACCGATTCTAAGTCAGTACTTAGCAACTACACTATTCATAATTATTAGTTCAGGAAGAGCTTTAGGATAAAAATTTGTACATCTGCAGTTGGAAAGAAATGGTTACTACCGAAGAAACATTCATTTCACACCAACTATTCTCATGCAAATGTAACCTAAAAGCACAAAGAACGTCAAGGGATTTTCTGACAAATTGCGGTGATTTCTGATCTATATGCTTGTTTATATTTCACCTAAAAACACTCACCGAGGTTGCAAATATTTGCTTATATTATCACCACAATCTGATAATACACCGACGGGAAAGATTATTCATTGCAAGTTTTTACAATTTGTTTTCTGCAAAAGCATAAAAGAACTGAAGATTATTTGAGGTCTGATGGCAGTTTAAAAACAATTTGTGCAAACAAAATGCCGAATAAATTTCACGAAACTTCAAATTTTGGCCACACTCACAACTTTAGTAAAGAAATATATGTGCTACTTTTAGTCGAAGTTTCTCGTCTGAAATCGGTCTGATATTGTTTTCAGACTTCTAAGGAACGAATTAACGACACCGATGTATCTGAACGCCATG